TGGACTAGATTTTAGAATAATTTGGAGTGTGGCCCAACGAGTGTGTGTGTGTGCATGTCAGAATGTGAGCGTGTATACTATGTGTATAATGCAAAGAGAAGACAATGATTTAAGTGGTTCGCCTTAATCGAAAGATTAAAATTACGTCTACTGTAAGGGAGATTCTTACTCCTTGGGGATTGTATTATTTAGGGAAAAAAATTGTTGTTATAAAGTGTTTGGCTTGAAGACTTTTACAAGATATCACCCAAGTATTTCTTGTTAGCTTTTCGAATGGCATTTTTGTGCAACTATAGCCTTGTTGCCTATATATACAATTGGTAGTTAGGATTTCGTATTTATCTTATTTGATTGATTCTGTGGTCCATTTTGTGTTTGTCTCTATCTTGCATCCATTACTTGTCGACTACAGTACTTGATCTATTTTCACTATCTACGGATTTTTGTTGATAAGAGTCATTAGGTAATATTTCTTTGTCCCTTGTCCATGTGTCATGCTACAACTTTTGTAGATTAGCACTATGTTGTGCTCTCGTCTCCTGAGTTGATAGATGTATCGAACTCGTTAATATCACGCATCCTTGAAATTGGGTTGTAGCCTAGTTTGAGTATTGTTTGAATAAACTGTGTGGGCCGCTTTTAACAAGCTTAAAGAGTCTTGAGCTTTAAAAAAATTCAGATTTAAACTAATCATTATCAGAAACGATGCATGAAAGCATGATATCAACAGGTTAGCCCTTTTTTTATCCCTATTACATTCATGTCTATTAGATAAACTGGAGATGATTTCTCTCTATCACGTGATTGGACTTGTCTTGATCACATGGGGTCATTTAACGCAAGTGCAGGGACCCAGCCCCTTCATATTGCAATCACTATTTACACGTTGAACTAAGAAAGGTGATGTTAAATCCCCCACTATTGGGGAAAGCCCAACAAGACAAAAACTTTCGGCCATATTGCTAATCTACGTCATCAATGATCCACTCATCACTAATTTCTTCGAAACTAATTTCTTCGAAATAGAGTATGAAAACCTCAATACCTTAGGATGATTCACGTGTCCTTCATAATTTATTGAATCTTGGTCGAGAAACAAAATAATACTCCGCGTTGGATTCCTTTTTTTTTTGGGCAAATAACAAAGTGGAGTCAAGGTATTGAAGAAGAAAAAACTGTAAAATTCAATCCAATTTATCGCAATCGAATAATTAAGGAGAAAGATATAACATGAAGACACGAGGAAAATAAACTTAAATTTAAAACATGCTCATTGAATTTTAAAAGAGAGTAAAATTTAATAATTAGACATTTTAGTAAAATTTGAGTCTTTATTTATTTAACATGAGCTTAAATAAAACACCGAAACTTATTTTTATCGTGTGTTTATCCAATTTTAAGTATGAACCGAGATTTAAGTAAAAAAAAAAAGATGTTGAGTGAGAGAAACTTATTAATCCAATGCGTAGTTCAAGTGGTAATAAGTGCGAGTTATAAATTTAAATATCTTAGGCCTAAATTTTGGCAATTCTTTGGAACTAGCTCATGAGAGATTTATTTCTCATAAATATCTTAATTTCGATGTGAATAATTTATTTTTGATCAAATTAAAAATACGATTATTTAAAATATACATAAATTGGCACGGACACACTCGCGATTAAAAAGAAACAAAAGTGAGAGGAACCTATTCTGTCAAGGGGTCACCATGCCATAGAAAAAAAACAGGAATACGAGGACAACATAATATATTTGGTATGGGGGCTTGAGGACCAGATAAATGACAGGACATGAGCTGAAAAACTGACCAGTAGGGCTAATTGGAGCCACATACGTTCTGGATCTTGTAACTCGAATTAATTTAAAGACATGTCACGAATAACAAGAGTGATCGGCCTTTATGCTCTATTTAGTATGATAAAAACATAGGAGGATAAAAAATTTGAAGGATAAATAAAATATCATGTTTAATAAGGAAGGAAAGTAGGAAGGATGAAATAATAGATAGATTAACTTTTCTCTCACCAAAATCAATCCCTCTAAAATTGGAAGGAAAGTGGATGAAAAATTAATTATTTGTGTTAAGATGTATCTTATTTGTTATATATCTTATGTATACATTAATTTCATATAAAAATACAATGGTAAAATATGTATATATATTTTTAAAAAATAAAAAAATTAAAAATTTAAATTAAAAAAAATATTTTTTCCATCTTAACTAACGATACAAAAATAAGCAGGTCAACTCGCAACTCGATACGACATAATTAATTAAATGAGTTAAGTTAGGTTTTACTAATATTCGACACAAACCCGTAATGACTTAATATGAATTTGAAACGACACGACTCGACTCGATTGTCACCCCTAATCTTAGCCAACANTAATTTATCGCAATCGAATAATTAAGGAGAAAGATATAACATGAAGACACGAGGAAAATAAACTTAAATTTAAAACATGCTCATTGAATTTTAAAAGAGAGTAAAATTTAATAATTAGAGATTTTAGTAAAATTTGAGTCTTTATTTATTTAACATGAGCTTAAATAAAACACCGAAACTTATTTTTATCGTGTGTTTATCCAATTTTAAGTATGAACCGAGATTTAAGTAAAAAAAAAAAAAAAGATGTTGAGTGAGAGAAACTTATTAATCCAATGCGTAGTTTAAGTGGTAATAAGTGCGAGTTATAAATTTAGATATCTTAGGTCTGAATTTTGGCAATTCTTTGGAACTAGCTCATGAGAGATTTATTTCTCATAAATATCTTAATTTCGATGTGAATAATTTATTTTTGACCAAATTAAAAATACGATTAATCAAAATATACATAAATTGACACATACACACTCGCGATTAAAAAGAAACAAAAGTGAGAGGAACCTATTCTGTCAAGGGGTCACCATGCCATAGAAAAAAAACAGGAATACGAGGACAACATAATATATTTGGTATGGGGGCTTGAGGACAAGATAAATGACAGGACAGGAGCTGAAAAACTGACCAGTAGGGCTAATTGGAGCCACATACGTTCTGGATCTTGTAACTCGAATTAATTTAAAGACATATGTCACGAATAACAAGAGTGATTGGCCTTTATGCTTTGTTTAGTATGATAAAAAAATGGGAGGATAAAAAGTTTAAAGGATAAATAAAATATTATGTTTGATAAGGAAGGAAAGTAGGAATGATGAAATAATAGATAGATTAACTTTTCTTTCACCAAAATCAATCCCTTTAAAATTGGAAGGAAAGTGGATGAAAAATTAATTATTTGTGTTAAGATGTATCTTATTTGTTTATATATCTTATGTATACATTAATTTCATATAAAAATATAATGGTAAAATATGTATATATATTTTTAAAAAATAAAAAAATTAAAAATTAAAATTAAAAAAAATATTTTTTCCATCTTAACTAACGATACGAAAATAAGCAGGTCAACTCGCAACTCGATACGACATAATTAATTAAATGAGTTAAGTTAGGTTTTACTAATATTCGACACAAACCCGTAATGACTTAATATGAATTTGAAACGACACGACTCGACTCAATTGTCACCCCTAATCTTAGCCAACAAAAAAAAAAGTCATTTTTATTTTTCATCTATTCAACCAAACACAAAGGGAGGAAAGTGTATCATTCATATTTTTCATCTTTGAATGATACAAAGTGTATTCTTCCTACTTTTCATCGNAACACAAAGGGAGGAAAGTGTATCATTCATATTTTTTATCTTTGAATGATACAAAGAATATATCTCCTACTTTTCATCATCCCTACTAAACAGAGCATTAAAGAATATGAAAAATATGAGACGTGAGACCTCTTGCTAGTAAAAGGGCATACTTGACCACCCAAAAGGTTAGTATGATTGTGAACTTAGCAGCATGGTATATGACACTATATGTTCATATAAATCTTGTAATTTTTTAGATTAAGTCATACTTTAATTCTTCGAATAGAATGAGATTTTTTTTATCATACTTAACATGATACCGGATTCTACTATGAAATAATTCAAGGATAAATTATATTTTATATCCTCAAAGTTTATATTTAATTTTTATTTAATCCCTAAATTATCAATTAAAACAATTAAGTCTTTAAAATTTATATTATGTTTTAATTAAGTCCCCGGTTAAAATTTTAAAAGAAAAGAGTCACACGAGCAAAATGTAAATCAATAATAAAATTTATTTTGAATAAGCTGGCTCTAAAATTAGAATTTATGCAATAAAATTATATTTGCTAACTCATTTGATATAGATTTGAGTAGTTGAATTTGATGCATTGACTCATTTTTACGCATTTAATTAATATTTATATGTATTTGGTTAAAATTCTATAATGTGGTTGAGGTGTTTAATGCTCACATGGTATTTTTCTGGTCATAATTATTGATTAAGTTTAACAAAAAAGGTTGATTAAAATTAGTTATAAAAATTAAGGACTTGATTATTATAATTAATTATTAAGGATTAAATAAAAATCAAGTATAACATATAAAAGTATAAATTATAATTCACCCGATATTTAAATCTGATTATGAACCAAACGTTCGTATGGCATCTGATTCGGATAGCTCAAAAACTGATCGGAATATAATGTGTTGGAAGGCCTGCACATAGGGAAATTTTTTTGCGAAAAGGGCGCCGCCAGACAAAGATTTGAGGTAAGCCGACCGGACCAGAACCGAATATGCCATCGTAAGTTGTTGTTTAATAGGGAAATTAGGAAGTGGATTCATAGTTGGAAGGACAGTTCGAAATCAAATTCAATTCCCCAACGAATATTCGCTTATTCCCGCGTTTCACCTAACTCACGGATACCACCTAAACACATATTCCACACACCTATCACCGTACGTTTGCTTCATCACAACCCGTGATGTTTAATGTACGGCTGGTATGATTTAGAATCAGTGTACTAGATTACCTTGAGAAGTACAGGATAATGAGTTCTCTCGCCAGAGATGTCAGCACAAAAAAAAAAAAAGGGACTCGAATCGAATGGCGTTCCTTTAACACACCACAAACTCATTCACTGAATATTCCTTTGGAATCAAACATTCTCACAAATCACAATGCCTTTCCCTTCCTATATAAACCCTGCCTCCTCGGTGCCTTTCAGAACCAAGAACTTCTTAGTGTTAAATCCTAGATTTATTTGGGGAGTTTGAGGTTTCAAAAACAGCTTTTGGGTACTAGAATGGCCGGAATTGTGGTGGTTTTCGACTTTGACAAGACGATCATCGACTTGGACAGTGATAATTGGGTCGTGGACGAGTTGGGTGCCACTCAATTGTTCGATCAACTTCTTCCTTCCATGCCTTGGAATTCTCTCATGGTAAGTATTTTCACCCCATAACCTTCTTAAGATTAATGTACAATGGCTTAATTACAGTTAGTACCTTCATTTTGTTTGTATTTTTCCCATAAATTAGAGGGTCAGTGTCCAAGGTTTGTGGGTATTGATTGATTTCCAATTCTCTGTTATGTATCTGCAGGATAGGATGATGAAGGAGCTTCATTCCCAAGGCAAAACTATTGGGGACATTGAAGAGGTACTCAATAGGGTTCCTTTACATCCCCGGATTGTCCCTGCCATCAAATCTGCCCATGCTTTAGGGTAACACTCTCTCTCATATGTCTTAAATGTCATCTACATTTTGTTACGCTCTGTTTGTTCCTGGAAAACAAACTAATGTGGGATTGTCGATGGATTTCAGATGTGATCTGAGGGTAGTTAGCGATGCTAATCTGTTCTTCATCGAGACAATTTTGAACCATCTTGGGATAAGGGATTGTTTCACCGAAATCAACACGAACCCGGGTTATGTTGATGAGGAAGGGAGGCTAAGGATCGTACCTTACCATGATTTTCATTCTTCTCCTCATGGCTGCAATCTTTGCCCACCAAACATGTGCAAGGTAAATTAACTAGTTATTCCCCTTTGTTTTTCTTTTATTACTGACAAATTCTCACACGTTTTCTGACAAATTAAGGCATAACATTTTCTAGAGAAATCTAGAATTATTCTAGGTGAATAAATATTCATGAGGTGCCCAGGATCCAGATCTAGAAAGGTCATCAAGAACAAATTTTCTTTGTGCATGTGGATCTCTGTGAAGGAATGATTTTCTCTCTCATCCGAATATATTGGAATATGTTAATATGCTTCAGCTTTTGGTTTCGACTTAAAACAACAGAATGTTTTCTTTGATGACCCCACTGGATCTGTTTAGTTAACAACTTAGAAGACAAAGTAAGTCATTTGAGAAGTGAGATAGTGACAGTGAGTCAACTAGTATGTCAATGAAGTATTAAACTAAAAGAACCATTAGGCACACTCACAATGATTTCAAAGTAGCTATATTTGGATAATCACTAGCTGATTATGGTGATTTTTTTACAGGGTCTGATAATAGAAAGGATCCAAGCTTCCATGAATAAAGAGGGAAAGAAAAAGATCATCTACCTAGGAGATGGAAGTGGTGATTTTTGCCCAAGCTTGAAGCTGAAGGAGGGTGATTATATGATGCCAAGGAAGGATTTCCCAGTATGGGACTTGATATGCAAAAATCGCATGCTTTTGAGGGCAGAAATCCATGAATGGACCGATGGAGAAGAGCTTGAACGCGTGTTGCTCCAACTTATTAACGACATTTCTATCGAAGAGAAGCACACCACTAACTCTACCCAGTTATTATCGGGTGACTGCAAATTTCAGACAATTCCGATATCTACTCATGAAGCCTTGCCTCTTGCCCTCCCTGTTCGTTACTAGTTGCCAACAATTTAACTAGCTTTGGCCAAAGCCAAAGCTATTTGCAGATTTTTTGTCTTGCTTTCCGCTTTGATTGTGGATTTTCTAAGCTTAAATAGTTGCGTTGACCTGAAACTGTTCGAGGAAAATTATGGCAACCACTAATTTGCTACTACTTTTTGTAAAGTTATGTTTGGTGTACGCGATAATTCCTGTAATAGTTTGAGACAGCGATCTTTAAGTTGGTGAACCTGAAACAACAGGGTCAAAAAAAAAAGTTAGGTGAGCACCCGGTTTATCTCCTCTGAAGCTAAAGTTAGTCTAAGGTCGAAGGGTTTAGCTCAATGGACAATCTTTTTCTGATTCAAATTTGTGTATCTTTGTCCATTTTTCTGAGGAGTATTTATTCCTGAATTAACAATGATTGTCAAAGATCTCTAATCTCATTTGGACATCTTACATCTGACATACCATTTCTCGTACAATGAGTGTTTTTTACTCACGTTTCCTCCTATTAAATGCTAGGAAGATGAGATAAATGCTCGGCCAAATGCTGAGCATTTATGCCCCTCCCCCGAGTACCCAAATTTCCCAGATGCCGATCTGACCTCAGCTGAGTATTGAATACTCGGGGGAACAGTTCCTCGGGGGGAGTCGATAGCGTCATCTCGACGCATCAACCATTAATGCTTAACCATCATGACAGTAGGCCTAGACTCCTAGAGTGTAGGTACTTGCAGGCGCGTATTTATTTACCTTGTCACTATCACTCATTCCGCCATAAATAAGGGGTCACATCGCATTAAATACGATGTCAACTGTCGTACTCGACTGCTCCGTGTCACCATACCTTGGCTTATTTCCTCGGTGCCATTTGGACATCCCAAGGCTTCATTATTCCACGTGTCAATCTGGGGGCTGTAGAGCCACCTAGAGTCCTGTCAATTGCCTCCCAGTCGCCATCCTTTTCGCAGTGTAAGACAAGTGGCGTAAAGAGATTGGGGGCTCAATCATCACGCCGTATTAATAGCGAAGGTTACTTGCACGTCTGGTGTCGCCCCTTTTCAAATGCCCAAATGATGACCTAACTTTTTGATTCCTGCTCCTTGTAAGGCAGTATAAATAGAAGATTTTCATGCATTCTCAGAACTTTTGCATCCTCAGCCTCTCTTCAGCAATCAGACCCCGAGTGTTTCTTTGTTCTCCTCCGAGTTTCTTTCGTCCTCCAAGCTCCTTTTTTGAAGATCACCTTCCTATAAGTACTTCCACTTGAGTTTTTTCTCTCTTCATTTCCTCTACATTTCGTTATTTTAGAGCCCACCAATGACTAGAACTAGTACAACTAGGGGGGAGACATCTGTTAGGGCTATGACTACCCATAAGATGAGGAGACCCCAAGTGACTGATAAGAATATCCAAGCTTTTAGGGTTAGGTACCACATCCATGAGTCTGTCTTTGTCTTCCCCTTTAACCCTACTCACTATAGGAGGGATATGGGAAGTGTGGACATGATGCCTTTCTGGATGAAGGCCATCATGGAAGGAGGCTTGACCTTCCCTCTCCATCCCCTATTGCTTGGAGTGTTGATGCAACTGAAACTCTTCCCCCTTCAATGTGGGGTTAACTTCTTTAAGATTGTGATGGACTTAGTCGCCTTAAACGCTCGGCTGGAGACCAACTTAGGAGTAGATGAAATTTTATTCTGTTACGACCTGAGGTTAGTCGTCGGGGGGAGATACTATCTCCAAGCTCGAGACACCTAAATGTATTTGGTAACCCACATGCCCGACTCGGACAAGGGGTATGTAGACGATCTGATCATGCTCGACGGCAGTTGGGAGAAAGGACCAGGGCCCGAGTATGATGGATTGTACTGCCCCAAAATGCTGAGAGATAAAGGTGTGTCTTCTTCCTGACTTGTACTGATTTTGCTATTTTTGGACCCAAGGGATGTACTGATTTCGCTATCTTTACTTTTGCAGAAGGATACCGTCAGGACGCTGCTCAACCCTTGAGGTCCTAAGTCTGGTTTGCCGATCTCCTAAGGGTTTGGTCCTTAGACCCAGTTGACCGAGCGGCTCACACTCTTTTCCTAGATCCTGCTCCCGACCTACAGCCAATTTTCCTAGATCCTACTTCCCTTCAACCCTTCTCTTTGGGAAGACCGTTCCTCGTCGGCAAAGGAAGAATTTGAGGGAGATTCCGAAGAAGAGTCTGATCATCCTGCTCCCGAGCCCCTTGCGCTTGAAATGTTTAATCCACCACCAGTCACCGCTGCTACATTGGAGGCCGCCGTCGCGGCAAGGAGAGCCAGGCTCGCTAGGTTAGCCGGGCCTTCCAACACTGTCCCTATCATTCCCCGCCTAGTTCTCCTCGGTGGCAACCACCCCTGCTGCCTCCACGTCCCCAACCATCCAGGGACCCGGCTGTGCCGACCATGCAAAGGCCTCAATCTCAACAAGTCTCCGCTTCGGGGGACAGGTCGAAGGACCGACTAGCTCAGGATGCCGAGCAATCTGAGGAGTGCCATGTGAAGCGGCAGCATGACACCCCGGGCCAGTCTGTCTCGGGCGAATAGGTCCCTCGAGCTAAGACAAGAAGCGACCGCCCTATCCTGGAAGTCGACTCCATTCTCCAGTCCCTTGAAGTGGCCTTTGCCATCGCGGGGACGTTTCAGTTTGATGCCGATATGGTCGTATACAAAGGCAATTCAGACAATCGGCTTCCGAGATATTCCTTGCACCCTTTTAGTCTTTCTCTAATAGTCCCCCTTTTTCAGGCTGGCCAGCCAGCAGGTGGGGGCCATAATTGAGCATTTTTGGGAATACAAACAAGAGGCGAAGAATGCCGAGCGAGCCCTAGCTGCTAAGGACGGCCATATCCTCAAGGTCGAGAGGACCCTCGGCGACCAGACCAAACACATCGTCGAGCTCATCTGCCATCGAGATGTCGTTCATACCGAGTTGAAAAAGACCAAAGTGGGTGAAATTGAGATGATAAAGAAGGCTGAGGAGTATGAGTTGCGAGTCTCCTTCTCCAAAGTTAAGCTGTAAGAGTCCGAGTCTGTAATCAATGAACTTACTGCCAAAGTGGACTCCTTGACAGCAGAGAAGGCGGGGGAGCAGGAAAGGCTGCAGTCAAAATGTCAGAGGGTGTGGTTGACCACTCAGGACCAAATGGTCCTTGCTTTCGAGGAAGCCAAAAAGAAGGCTTTCAAAGAAGGTTGGGACGCTGCCCTTCATGCCTGCCACATCGAGGTAGGCTCGGACTTGTTCGCCATGCATAGCCTTCGAAGGGAGGCCGATGACAAAACCCTGGACGAACAACTCCGAGCCAACCCAGGTGACCAAGTTCAGGCAGAAGGGCTGGTCGGGGCCGAAGGTGGGAACGAACCCATCACACTTAGTGATGGTTCTGACCAGCCTTCTCCTGTCCTCCCATCTTTGCCACCTGTCGAACCTACAGATGATCTTTCCCCTCTGCCCCCAATTATTACTGGAGTGTATGACACCGAGCTAGACGAGATTTTGGGGGTTGAACTACAAAGGCGGCGTGGAGGCCTCGGTGGGGGAGAAGTAGGGGAGATATAAGCCGAGGGTCGTTAGCGACCGTTGATATGAAAACTTTAATGTCTCGAGTTTGTTTTGTAACTTTGTATAGTTAACGTTTTGTATGCTTGGGGACACAAAGCCCCTTTTTGATTGCAATGAAACTTCATTTTTATACAAGTGTTCTTTATTTCTGCATCATGTTCGTTTCTATGGAATGGCCTTGATGTTATGTTGATAATAACCTTCTAGAATAACAAGGCTTCACGTCGAATCTATGAGTTGAACTTGTTTCTGGGTCTGTACCCCTTGGGATCGAGTATACACATCCCTCAAGGCTGTGCCCTTACAACCAAACGCGTGGCTCGTTAATAATTTGAAGGCATTGCTCCCAAGGTGGAGTCTCACATCCCTCAGGATCGTACTCCTAACGACTAAACGTGTGGCTCGTGTTAATAATTTGAAGGCATTGCTCTAAAGGTGGAGTCTTACATCCCTCGGGGCCGTACCCCTAACGACCAAGCGCTTGACTCGTGTTAATAATTTAAAGGCATTGCTCTAAAGGTGAAGTCTTACATCCCTCGGGGTCGTACCCCCTAACGACCGAGCGCGTGGCTCGTGTTAATAATTTGAAGGCATTACTCCAAAGATGGAGTCTTACATCCCTCGGGGTCGTACCCCTAACGACCGAGTATTTGACTAGTGTTAATAATTTGAAGGCATTACTCCAAAGGTAGAGTCTCACATACCTCGGGGCCGTACCCCTAACAACCGAGCGCGTGGCTGGTTAATACAACCATAATGACAATTCTGGATCAGTAATAGTATTTCTTTAAATTCGATACATTCCATGGCCGAATTACATTGTCACCATTCATATGTTACAATCGATATGCGTCTGTGCCCCCCACAGAGACGACCTTATAAGGGCCCTCCTAATTGGGACCCAGTTTCCCATCAGTAGGGTCGCGAGTATTGCCCACCACTTTTCGCAATACCAAATCTGTGACTTAAAAATCTCTCATCCGAACCTTCTTCCGGTGTTGATGTGACAATTCCCCTTGGTACCATGCCAGCCTGATGGATGTCGATAACCTCATTTTCTCGGCCAAATCAAGATTCCTAGTGAGCGTTTGATCATTGTTTTCCCAATTCGAAGGCTCAGCTCCATATTATTGGGAGTCCCACCTCCAAGGGGATGACAACCTCGACCCCATATGTCAATGCGTATGAGATTTCTCCTGTCGAAGTTCTCGGCGTGGTCCTGTATGCCCATAATACGTTAAGTAATTCATCGGTCCACCTTCCTTTTGCTACCTCAAGTCTCTTCTTGATTCCTACCAGCACGATTTTGTTGGTCTCCTCAGCCTATCCATTACATTGGGGATAGGCTGGCGTAAAATAGTAATTACATATTCCGAACGTTGAGTAGAATTCTCTAAACGGGCCACTGTTGAATTGAGTCTTATTGTTAGAAACAATAGCCCTAGGGATTTCAAATCGAGTGATGATGTTCTGCCACACGAACTTCTTCGCCTCCACATCTTGAATACGGCTTAAGGGCTCGATTTCGATCCATTTGGTGAAGTAATCGGTTGCCACCAGCAAGAATTTCTTGCCTAGTGGGGATCTCGGGAGAGATCCGACAATATCCATACCCCACTGTGAGAACGGTCAAGGGCTTGTCAGCAAGTTCAAATCTTCAGCAGGTTGCCGGATAATGGGGGGTAAACTTCTGACATTTGTCACACTTTCGTACATAAATTCTTCGCGTCTTTCTACATGTAGGGCCACCAGTATCCTTGCATTATTGATCAGTGCGCGAGAGACCTTCCGTCCGTGTGGCTTCCA